ATACTTATAAAATTTTTAAATTCCGCTGTAAACTCTGTTCCGTACGGTATATCGAACCCAACATACACAACACAATTCTCGAATGATGATACGATTTATGTTTGTTATTCGATTTACCTTACATGGAGTTTGAGGTCGTTGATCTCGGAGTACGGCGCCTCAATCGGAATTTTCGGATCTGCCAAGATAGCTCATTGTAATGGCATTTGGGAAAGAGATCTCACACGATTGTTGAAAAAATCAGATGCTAATGAATGGTTTTCGATCGGAGAGCTTGATAAAATGTTTTATTTCAAGAACAGAACTCGAATCGCGGTAGGGAATTTCATATTCTGTGCTAGGGTTTGCGATATTTATTTTTCGCAATTTATTCTCCCCCAAGTTGTGCGTTTAACAAGTTTGAGCACAAGGAGGGGTGGGAAGATGTTGTTTAATTACCAGTATACCCTTACATGTAATTAGCGTATTGACTACAACCCAAAGCTGGATATCCGTCCGATTGTATTGATCAGCTGAACCGTATTTATTCTCATTTCTTTCCTGGAGTACCATTCTCACCGGAGCGTGACCCTATATATATATATATTCTTTTTAAGATTCTTCTTAAGCATTTGAAAAATGACAAACATGTGAATATTTATTCAATTTATTATAGGAAATATCTAACGTGATTTTTGGTTTAATATATAGATTTTGAATCAGTTTAAAATGGTCATCTAGAGAATGATTATAAAATTTGAAATAACTAGCGTAATTTTTCATGAAATAAATCACATTTTTAGCTAATTATATATATATATATATATTATACATCAAGATAATGGCAATAAAAATTGAACTAAGCAGCGTGGTTTCTTCAAAAACTATATCGATTTTGAAATAAATAAAAAATTGTACATCAAATGGTCATAAAAATTGAAATCAGAATTAAATAGGATTTGTCAAATACAGTCGCATTCAAAATGCATCCAATTATTTCCCATTATTTTTTCGCATATACGTACAAATCTATCCCAATTCTATAATATTAAATAAATTTCATATTTTTTATGATCTGGTATGACTGATGTCGAATATAATTTTTTTCAGGATTGTAAAAAATTTGCATATTTGAAAACCACATATAAATCTATGTCCTAATAAAAATAATTTTCATAAAAATAACTTTAATATTTATTAAAAGCAATAATCAAATTATACCCACGTGTTGTAAATTGTGCATTTCATTTGATAGTACGAATTTTTATATAAATAATGTAATAACAATTTTAAAAATTATTTTGTGACCATTATCGCTATAATAATTCAATTTTTCATATTAATTGAGAATCATTGTAATTTTTTATTCTTTCTACAACCAACCATACCACAAGTCTTTAAAAAATGTCTATTAAATAGGTTATGTTATTAGAAAATACAATTTGAATATGCACGATTAAATTGTAAATATAATTACAAAATAAAAAAATAAATTTCAAATTTGATATAACTACCATAATATTACAATATTGATATCTCAACATTGATAACAACCTTTAATGATTATTCAATGGTGATATAAGATATTATACCCACAAGGCTAAACCGGTCTGCTGAACCGGTCGAAGAGGCCATGTCGTGAAGAAACCAAGCCGAGTGACAGGAAAATCGACCAGTCAACAAGTCGCCTAGCTAAGCAATCGACCAGTCAACCAGTCGACCAGCTAAGCAATCGACCAATCTATACTTCGACCAGGTGAACGGTCGAGCAGATCAGTCGACCTCTGTAATGGCCCAATTCTTGTTAATAAAAGCGAAGTACTTTCTTTTATCTCTTTCAGTTTCAGCGTTTAAATTAATAAGTTCGATATTAAGTCGAAAAGTCTATTTGGTTAATTATTAACCGAGTCAAATTCGATAATTAATTTTCGAACCGTTTATTTTATAAATGGACATTATTAATCGGGATTAATTATTGAAAGTTAAGAATGTTCGGATTTAATTTTTGAAGTCAAGATCAAAGCTAAGTCACGGATGTACATACCATGCACGCACGCACACACATCGTGCATAGCCATGCATGTATGCGCGCACGCAACCGTGCGTAGTGCACGTTGCCGTGCAAGCACACGCACTAAGCCGTCGCCCTTCATTAGCTTACATTAAGTTAAACATCATGATCAAGGTTAATCAACCCTTGTCCTAATCCTTAGTAATTGCCGTGGGAAATTTTTACCAAGGATAAATGTTGGTGCAAGTTGTGTAGTGACTCACCTACTAGCTTGTAACACATGGCCCAAGCATAGCCTACGTGGGATGACTAAGCATGTGCATGCGCGCCACATCGGGTGATGATTAAGCCGAGCACAAGACACCTCAACCCACTGCTAGGACATGTGGCATCAAGGGAAAAATCGTCATTATCCACCCTTTGACCAAGTAAATTCCGAGATTTACCCACCTCCATAAATAACCGAACGTGTGCGTTATTTCCATGCATTTTTTTATGCACAAAACCGAGCCAACTTCAGTACAAAAACTAAGTGAAAATAGTGAGGAAAGTTAGAGGAAAAATCGTACAAAAATAGCTAAGGATAGCCGAAGCAAAGGATAGGCGAGCGCACACCCAACCGAGCATCGAACACGCACGCAAGTCACCGTGCACTTCTCGACCAAACGGAAGGGTATACTCTTATTTACCCTCTCTTCATGTATTTAAGTTCATGTTAGGAAGATCATGTCAAAATCATGTCGTTCGATTTAAGTTTTGTACGAAAATGGCCTCGGAGGTGCTATATAAGCCCTCTCCGAGTGATTTCAAAATTTAACCAACAAGTCCTGAGCAATTCTTGCATATTTAGTCAAGTCAAGTCAAGTCATTTTATGATCAGTCATATAAAGGTTGCCGGAAAAAGTTGTCGGACGGCCGGCGAAAGGCCGACCGTAGTGCCTGCCCGCACATAACGTGCGCACGGCACGGCCGGCAGTCCCAGCGGGCATGCAGACAGCGTCCGCACGCCCAGCAGTACGTGCGCGTAGCTAGTGCCCCGCAGTCAGTCATGCACTGCCGCAGTCATGTGCGTGGGCGTACGCAGTGCACGCCAACACGCACGGCAGTGCGCATTCAGCCGTTTGCGTACACCGCAGCGTCGCACGCCCAGCAGCGTTCCCCGCAACGTCCGTACGCCCGCAAGCAGCGTTCCACGCACGCTGGCCAGTGTCCACGCACGCCAGCACGCCCGACAGCGTGCCAGCAGTGCCCAGTAGGCCTCGGCGTTGCACGACAGCACGCCCGAGTGCCCAGTCAGCCCAGCACGCATAACCCACGTGCCAGTCGCCTGTCCGTGGTGCGCAGTAGCGCCCAGCAGTGCCAGTCCGTGCCAGTACCATTGTCAGCGTACATGACCGTGGCCAATCATGCCCAGCAAGTGTCCAACAGTCGCTGGCCGTGCACAGCAGCACGCCAGTGACCGTTGATGCGGACACGGCGAGAAGACTTAAGAAGGCAGCGAGTCGCGCGTGGCATGCGCGAAGGAGGCTAAGTCTCCGTGCCGGCGAGGCGCGATACGTGGACGGGCACGCGCGTGATACTGTCTGGGACGAGCGCGGGGTTGAACGCGCAGGCGACGGGGTACACGCGCGAACTTGCCTAGGCGCGCGAGGATTAGGCAAGCTGCTGGACGCGTGCGCGGGAATGGAACATGAAGTCATAGACCTTGGGCGATTAGACAACGTGGACGCGGGCCAGGCGGTTTGGGGCGCAAGCAAGAAATAAATTAAATAGCTTGATTAATATTTTATTTCCTTGTTTGTTTAGGATACTTAATATTTTATTACTTTATTAGAGTTATAGTTATATTAGGACTAGATCTAGTTGATGCCTATATAAAGGCCCTTCCTATTGTTAATTTAATCATTCAGAAATCAATACAAAAATCTGAATTTTTGTTCAAAACTCTTTGCTCTAGTTTTCTTCTTGAATTCTTTTGCAACTATAATCGTTAGAAAGTCTACGAGTGTGCGACTTCCTAACACCTATCGATCGATTTAAGGCGCAGGAGCGGCTTGTCGGCAATCAAGACACACGGTCTTCATCATTGGTGCTTTCATTGAGAGAGTCGATCGTGTGTCTTTTTTTTCCCATTCTCTTTTAATTTTTCTTTCGTAATTTTCGTTCGTTCAAAAAAAAAAATCGTCAAAAGCAAAAAAAAAACAATAAAATAAAATAAAAAAAATAAAAATAAATCAAAATTAGTCCAGATAGTCGAGAACGTAGGCAAGCCAGAAAAGATATGGCCAATCGTGAGTTGAAAGAAAAGGTTAAAGGATTGGAAGGCCAATTCAAGGCCATGAGCGAGAGCATGGAGGATCAGTTTGGATCGCTCGACGAAGGTCAGGTCAGCACCAACGCTGCCGTGGCTCGCCTCGAGCAGCGTCTGGAGGAGGTGTTGCGCGGGTTCCAGCGACAGCAGCAGCAGGAGCCACCACGGGTGAACGCACGCGAGCGTCTAAGGCAACAGGAGCAGCAGCGAGCTGAGCACAACCTCGAGGAGGAGGAAGAATACGAACAGCGGTCGCAGGCATCGAACGTACATGAGCGAGCTCGCGTCGAGAAGCCAAGGATCGCGCTCTCGACGTTCACGGGAACCAACCCCGACGCTTGGCTGAACAGGGCGGTGCAATTCTTCGATTTAAATGAGATGCCGCAACGTGACTGGGTTCGTTATGCCGCGTACTATTTAGATGGTGAGGCCAACGTGTGGTGGCAGTGGCTCACGCGCGTGTATCACAGGCGGCAACAACCAATCCGTTGGGAAGATTTTGAACGAGAGCTCCTTACGCGTTTTGGAAACTCGGACTATCATAACCACGACGAGGCGCTAACTCGGATCCGGCAGACGGGGAGTGTACGTGACTACCAAAAAGAGTTCGAGAGATTGGCGTGCCAGGTTCGCGGGTGGCTGGAGAGCGTGCTTGTTGGCGCGTTTGTTGGAGGGATTAGGTATGATCTCGCGGCTGAAGTGCGATTGGAGAGGCCGGAGACCATGCATAAGGCCATGGAAGTTTCTAGGAGACGGGAGGATCACTTGGCCGCGACTCGAAGGGGACAGGCGGATTTTTGTGTCCCGGAGCTGCGGCGTGTGCCGGCGACCGTGGGCGCACCTAGTAAGAACGCGAGGCCGCCGAGCACCTTTAGGCCACCGGCAACTGAGGTGAAGAGGTTGACGGAGGAAGAGATGGCGCGGAGACGTGAGAAGGGGCTGTGTTTTTGGTGCGAGGAAAAGTACACGCCGGGACATCGATGCAAGCAGAATTACTTGATCGAGTTTGTGGACTCGGATGACGAGGAGCCGGTGATCGAGGAAGAACGAGAGGGTGAGGTCGACGTGCTCGATGATGAGGCCGAGATCTCTGTACACGCCATGGCAGGCACCAAGGGGCCGAGGACGATGCGTTTGCCGGCGTGGGTGAAGGATCAGCGAGTGACTGTGCTCGTGGACATTGGGTCGTCGCACAACTTCATTAATGCGACGCTATCTCACAAGCTTAAACTACCCACGTCCATGGTCGAGCCATTCGAGGTGCGGGTGGCTAATGGAGAGAGACTGTGGTGCTCGAAGGTGTACCGAGGCATGCCAATCAAATTCCAAGGAGTAACGGTAAAGGCGGACCTGTTTGCCTTACCATTGGTAGGGCCTGATGTGGTGCTTGGTGTGTAATGGCTCGAAGGGCTCGGTGACGTAACGACCAACTATCGGAAGGGCGTGATGAAGTTCGAGACCGATGATAGGTTGGTTACCTTGAAAGCGAGCGAGGGATCGACCAAGGAGGTTGGTCTAAAAAACATCGAGAAGGTGTGGTGAGGTGGTGGACAGTTGTATGCTAGCCGTGGTCGAGGCCGTGCGCGTATGGAGGCCGTACTTGCTTGGGCGACGCTTTCGGATTGTCACGGACCAGCAGTCGCTCAAGCACTTGCTCAAGCAAAGGATCGTGACGCCCGAGCAGCAGAAGTTCGTATCTAAATTGATGGGGTTCGACTTCGAGATAGTGTATCGGCCCGGTCGCCAGAACACCGTGGCCGACGCATTGTCTCGACGGGAGGACGTGGCCGAGCTCGACGCCGTGACGGGGCCGACGTGGGTCGTTTGGGCTGAGCTTTGGAAGAGCAAGACGAGGATGCACATTGCCGAGATGTGATCGAGAAGCTGAACGTGGGACACGCCGAGGACGAGGACCATGACATGCACGATGGCTTGCTCCTTTATCATGGGCGATTCGTCGTGCCCGAGGTGGGATCGTTGCGCGAGGACATCATCCGGCACTTCCACGACTCGAAGTTTGGAGGACACTCAGGGGTGTTCCGGACATGGATGAGGATTGAGAGCACTTTTTATTGGCCCGGGCTGAAGGGTGATGTGCGCGACTATGTTGGGCGATGCGATGAGTGCCAACGCACTAAGGCGGACGCACGTCGACCAGGCGGGCTGCTCCAACCTTTGCCTGTCCCCGCACGTATTTGGGAGGACAACACCATGGATTTTATCGAGGGGTTACCACTCTCGAATGGGTTCAATGGAGTCATGGTGGTAGTCGACCGTCTTACCAAGTATGCACATTTTATTCCACTTACTCATCCATACACGGCTAAGTCTATAGCAAAATTATTTGTCGAATATGTGATGAAATTGCATGGGGTGCCACGGTCAATTGTGTCCGACCGAGATCTGATATTTATGAGTAGCTTTTGGTCGGAGTGCTTTAAATTGCAGGGAACCGAGCTAAGCATGAGCTCAGCTTATCATCCACAAACCGACGGACAGACAGAGGTGACCAATCGCACACTCGAGCAGTACCTTAGGTGCTATGTGCATCAGTTTCCAAAGCGATGGGAGAATTATTTACCGTGGGCCGAGTATTGGTATAACACCACTTACCATAGCTCGACTTAGGCAACGCCATTCGAGTTGGTGTACGGGCGCAAACCGCCGACGATCGTGAGTTACTCGATGGGGAGCGTCGTGAACGATGAGGTCGATCGAGAGTTGGTCGAGCGTGACTTGATGTTGCGCGAGCTAAAGTGGACGTTGGAAGGCTCGATCAATAGGATGAAGGCGTACCATGATGGCAAGCGGCGTGACATGGAGTTCGAGCCCGGGGACTGGGTGTATTTGAAGTTGAGGCCGTTTCGGCAAAGGACGGCCGCGCAAAGGGCCGCGACCAAGCTCGGAGTTCGATATTACGGGCCTTATAAAATTTTGGCCAAGGTTGGGAAGGTTGCTTATCGACTTGAGTTGCCGGACGATTCCCATATCCAGCCGGTCATACACGTCTCACAACTCAAGCAACGACTCGGCGAGACGCTTACGGCAAAGGATCGACTACCCGCGGTCACGCCGGACGGGCCGGTTATGGTGCGGCCAAGCCGCGCGATGGAGTACCGACAAGTCAAAAAGGCTGGAAAATATTTTTGGGAGGTGCTCGTCGAATGGGAGGACTTGCCGAGTGAGGAAGCGACATTGCAAAGTTGGGGCGAGATGCGCGAGATGTTTCCCGATTTCTTCCTTGAGGACAAGGAAGCACTTGAAGGGGACGGGAATGATGCGGACACGGCGAGAAGACTTAAGAACGCAGCGAGTCGCGCGTGGCATGCGCGAAGGAGGCTAAGTCGCTGTGCCGGCGAGGCGCGATACGTGGACGGGCACGCGCGCGATACTGTCGGGGACGAGCGCGGGGTTGAACGCGCAGGCGACGGGGTACACGCGCGAACTTGCCTAGGCGCGCAAGGATTAGGCAAGCTGCTAGACGCGTGCGCGGGAATGGAACATGAAGTCATAGACCTTGGGCGATTAGGCAACGCGGACGCGGGCCAGGCGGTTTGGGGCGCAAGCAAGAAATAAATTAAATAGCTTGATTAATATTTTATTTCCTTGTTTGTTTAGGATACTTAATATTTTATTACTTTATTAGAGTTATAGTTATATTAGGACTAGATCTAGTTGATGCCTATATAAAGGCCCTTCCTCTTGTTAATTTAATCATTCAGAAATCAATACAAAAATCCGAACTTTTGTTCAAAACTCTTTGCTCTAGTCTTCTTCTTGAATTCTTTTGCAACTATAATCGTTAGATAGGCTGCGAGTGTGCGACATCCTAACACCTATCGAACGATTTAAGGCGCGGGAGCGGCTTGTCGGCAATCGAGACACACGGTCTTCATCAACCATCCCCAGCGCACGCACGGTGCCAGCAGCACCTGCCAGCGCACGGGAC